TCCTCCTCTCCTCTCCTCCTCCTCCCTTCTCCTCTAAGCACCCCTCCCCTCTCCTCCCCATGCCCCTCCTCCTTTCCTCGCGCCTTCTTTCTCTTCTCACTACTCTTCTCTCTTCTACTCTCTTCTCCCTCTTCTCTCTTTCTCTCCCCTCTCCTTTTCCTCCTTTTTTCTCCCCCTCCTCTTTTCTCCTCCTCCTCCTCCTCTCTTTTTCTCCTCCTTCCTCCTTCTTTTTCTTCTTCTGCTCCTTCTAATCCTCCACCTTCTCCCCTCCCCAACCTTCCCCTTTACCCCCCCCTCTTACCCCCTACCGCCCTTTCCCCCTCCCCGCGCCGGGCCTCAAAATTGCATTCCCGCCCCGGACCGAACGGGCATTCCCGCCATCGCTCTCTCACGCGTGCAGGAAAGAACGATGATAAGGAGAAAGAGAGAATAAGTGAGAGAGAGTGAGAGAAAGAGGGAGGGAGGAGGGAGGGAGGGAGGGAGGGAGGGAGAGAGAGAGAGAGAGAGAGAGAGAGAGAGAGAGAGAGAGAGAGAGAGAGAGAGAGAGAGAGGAGAGAGAGAGAGAGAGAGAGAGAGGAAGAGAGGGAGGGGAGGAGGGAGGGAGGGAGGGAGGGAGGGAGAGGGAGGGGGAGGGAGGGAGGGAGGGAGGGAGGGGGAGAGAGAGGGAGGGAGAAGGAGTGGAAAAGAGAGAGAGAGAGGAGAGAGAGAGAGAGAGAGAGGAGAGAAGAGAGAGAGAGAGAGAGAAGAGAGAGAGAAGAGGAGAGAGAGAGAGAGAGAGAGAGAGAGAGAGAGAGAGAGGAGAGAGAGAGAGAGAGGGAGAGAGGGAGGGAATAAGAGGGACTAAGAAAAAAGAATGGCAGGACAGACGTGGGACGATAAGGAGATAAAGAAAAGGACGCAGAAGATGGAGAGGAGGAAAAGGCGAAGAAAAAGGGGAAGGAAGGCATAGGAAAGAAGGATATGAATAAGGCGAAGAAATAGGGGAAAGAGGAAAAAGAAGAAAAGTAGGACTAACAGAGTAGAAACAGGAGTAGGAACAGCAGTACGAGCAGCAGTACGAGCAGCAGGAGTAGAGTAGGAGTAGGAGTAGGAGGAAGGGGGAGGGGCAGTGAAGACGTAAACACGAATCAACAGGTTGCACGCCCTGCCGATCGATAATCGATTTCTCCCCCCGCCCTCTTTATCGGCCAGGCGGCTCGGGGGGAACCGCCGCCCGCCCGCCAGACCCGCCCGCTCATTTGGATGGGGGGGAGGGGGGGGGGGGAGGAGGGGGAGGGGGAGGGGGGGAGGAGAAGGGAGGGGAGAGGGAGAGGGGAGGGGGGAGGAGGAGGAGGAGAAGAAGAAGGAAGAAGAAGAAGAAGAGGAAGAAGAAGAAGAAGAAGAAGAAGAAGAAGAAGAAGAGGAAGAAGAAGAAGAAGAAGAGGAAGAAGAAGAAAGAAGAAGAGGAAGAAGAAAAAGAAGAAGAGGAGAAGAGAAGAAGAAGAAGAAGAAGAGAAGAAGAGAGAGAGAGAGAGAGAGAAAGAGACAGACAGACAAGGACAGAATCACGACCTGCCGATTGCACCAGAATTAAAAACAAGAAAAATCCTACACCAGCTCAAAAGAAAAGAAAAGAAAAGAAAAAAAAAGGAAAAAAAAAAAAATCCCCCCGCCGACATCTCCCGACACCGCCCCCCCCCTCCTCCTCCCCGTGCCCCATCGCCATGCCCGCTGCACCGCCCGGCGTCGTACCCTCCCGCCTCATCGGCCATTCGCGAGGGGCGCCCGGCCCGACCTTGGCCATCGCGCGTGTGGCCGGAATAGGCGACAAGCTGGACAAGGTGGGTATGGTGGGTATGGTGGACAGGTGGGTATGGTGGACAAGGTGGGTATGGTGGGTATGGTGGACAAGGTGGGTATGGTGGACAAGGTGGGTATGGTGGACAAGGTGGGATGGGTGGACAGGTGGTATGGTGGACAAGTGGGTATTGTGGGCATCGATGAGACGGAGGGCTAGAGAGATCGGACCAGAGAGAGACATAGTGGGCCAAAGATACCGGTGTATAAAGAGTTATAGTGGGCCAAAGTTCCCTTCGTTCTAGAGAGTTCCCAAAGATTCCCTTCGTTCTAGAGAGTTATAGTGGGCCAAAGATCCCTTCGTTCTAGAGAGTTATAGTAGAGAGTTATAGTGGCCAAAGATCCCTTCGTTCTAGAGAGTTATAGTGGGCCAAGATCCCTTCCTAGAGAGTTATAGTGGGCCAAAGATCAGAGAGTTATAGTGGGCCAAAGATCCCTTCGTTCTAGAGAGTTATAGTGGGCCAATCCTTCGTTCTAGAGAGTTATAGTGGGCCAAAGATCCCTTCGTTCTAGAGAGTTAAGTGGGCCAAAGATCCCTTCGTTCTAGAGAGTTATAGTGGGCCAAAGATCCCTTCGTTCTAGAGAGTTATAGCCAAAGATGTTCTAGAGAGTTATAGTGGGCCAAAGATCCCTTTGTTCTAGAGAGTTATAGTGGGCCCAAAGATCCCTTTGTTCTAGAGAGTTATAGTGGGCCAAAGATCCCTTTGTTCTAGAGAGTTATAGTGGGCCAAAGATCCTTCGTTCTAGAGAGTTATAGAGGCCAAAGATCCCTTCGTTCTAGAGAGTTATAGTGGGCCAAAGATCCCTTCGTTCTAGAGAGTTTATAGTGGGCCAAAGATCCCTTCGTTCTAGAGAGTTATAGTGGGCCAAAGATCCCTTCGTTCTAGAGAGTTATAGTGGGCCAAAGATCCCTTTGTTCTAGAGAGTTATAGTGGGCAAAGATCCCTTCGTTCTAGAGAGTTATAGTGGGCCCCCAGAGAGTTATAGTGGCCAAAGATCCCTTCGTTCTAGAGAGTTATAGTGGGCCAAAGATCCCTTTGTTCTAGAGAGAGTTATAGTGGGCCAAATCCCTTCGTTCTAGAGAGTTATAGTGGGCCAAAGATCCTTCGTTCAGAGAGTTATAGTGGGCCAAAGATCCTTCGTTCTAGAGGAGGCCTATGAGTTGCGGCCAAAGATACCTTTCGTTCTAGAGAGTTATAGTGGAGCCAAATCCCGTTGTTCTAGAGAGTTTATAGTGGGGCCAATTCGTTCTAGAGAGTTAAAGTGGGCCAAAGATCCCTTTGTTCTAAGAGAGTTATAGGTGGGCCAAAGATTCCCTTTTCGTTCTAGAGAGTTATAAGTGGGCCAAGAGATCCCTTCGTTCTAGAAGAGGTTATAGTGGGGCCAAAGATCCCTTCGTTGTTCTAGAGAGTTTATAGTTGGGCCCAAAGATCCCTTGTTCCTAAGAGAGTTATAGTGGGGGCAAAGGATCCTTTGTTCTAGAGAGTTATAGTGGGGTCCAAAAGATCCCTTCGTTCTGAGAGTTATAGTGGGCCAAAGATCCCTTCGTTCTAGAGAGTTATAGTGGGGCCAAAGATCCCTTTTTCGAAGAGTTTTAGTGGGCCAAAGATCCTTTGTTTTAGAGAGTTATAGTGGGCCAAAGATCCTTCGTTCTAGAGAGTTATAGTGTGGGGACCAAAGGATCCCTTCGTTCTAAGAGTTATAGTGGGCCAAAGATGCCCTTTGTTCTAGAGTAGTTATAGTGGGCCAAAGATCCCGTTTGTTCATAGAGAGTTATTAGTGGGGACCAGGATCTCTTCGTTTCTAGAGAGTTTATAAGTGGGGCCAATAGCATTCCCTTGTCTCATGAGAGTTATAGTGGGGATCAAAGGGGCCAAAGATTCCCTTCGTGTTCTTAGAGAATAGTTATAGTGGGTAGATGGCCAAAGATCCCTTCGTTCTATGAGGAGTTTTAGTGGGTCCAAGGATCCCTTCGTTCTAGAGAGTTATAGTGGGCCAAAGTCCCTTATTGTTCTAGAGAGTTATAAAGTGTGGTTGGGCCAAAGTCCCTTCGTTCCTTAGAGAGTTAATTAGTTGGGCCAAGATTTCCTTCGTTCTATGAGAGTTATAGTCGGGTCCAAGTCCCTCTCCGTTCTAGGAGCTTATAGTGGGTCCAAGATTCCTTCGTTCTAGGAGTTATAGTGGGTGCCAAAGATCCCTTGTCTAGGAAGAGTTATAGTGGGAGTGCCCCAAGATCCTTTGGGTTTCTAGAGAGTTATAAGTGGGCAAAAGGAATACCTTCGTTCTAGAGAGTTATAGTAGGGGCCAAAAGATCCCATTCGTTCTTAGAGAGTTATACGTGGCAAAGGATCAGCCTTCGTTCTAAGAGTTAAAGTGAGGCCAAAGATGCCGTCTAAGTCTAACAGGGCCAATATATGCGTTGCAGAGAGATATAATGGGCCAAGGATACTGGTCTGAGATATACCAGTAAATACAGCGGCCAAACATACGGTCAAAGAAGAATCAGAACAAAGAGAGAAGAGAGAGACGAGAGGAGAGAGAGAAGAGTAGAGGAGAGCAGAGAGAGAGAGGAGAGACAGGAGAGAGAGAGAGAGAGAGAGAAAGAAGAAAGAAGAAAGAAAGAAAGAGAAAGAGAGAGAGAGAGAGAGAGAGAGAGAGAGAGAGAGAGAGAGAGAGAGAGAGAGAAGGAGAGAGAGAAAGAAAGAGATGAAGAGAAGAGAGAGAGAGAGAGAGAGAGAG